GGTTCACAGAGGGGAGCCTCAGGTTCACAGGTGCAAAGATCAGCTGGTTGAGCTGACCTTTGGACATTTGCCAAGTGAGCAAGAGGGGAAAGGGTATTTTGGGCAGAGGGAACATTCTGTTTAAAGGAATGTTGTGTTAAGCTTATGTTGCTCCTCATGCCATGTTCTTCCCAATTGTCTGTGTCATTAAACTCTAATTCAGCAGCATTCCTGGACTGGCAGGATTTATGCTTAAGACTGGGAGGAAGTCGAGAGATCCTGCAACCCAATGCTCACTTTTCAGAGATGAAATCTGAGGTGCAAAATGTCACACTGTGGATTGTGCTTTGACCCATGGTCTACCATCACCAAATGTGTTCATTTATTTGACACATATGTATTGAGCACCAGTGTATAAGGCACTGTGAGGTATACAAAGACAAACCTATCTCCCACCCCCCCCCACACACAAGAATTTAATCATTAGAAATATATGACCTGGAGGTTAAGAACATCTTGGTGTTAGACCTGAGTTTGAAGCCTGTGACATTACTGCTGATGACCTTGGATTAATTACTCATCCTTACTGAAGCAAACTTTCCTTCTATATAAAATGAAGATAATAATGGACTTTCTTCATGGATTTCTTATGAGAATTCAATGCAATAACATTTGCAGAGCATTAGCACTTAATAAATCTTAGTGGTTAATAATATAACCTTAATACAATATAGGAAAGTTAAGTGATGGCACAGAGTAGGTACTCAATTTAAAATGAGCTATACAGTTAATTAATTACAATTTTAATTCCAAGGTCTTTATCTGATCAAAAATTAACTTATAGTTCCTTGAGAATGTGGGTTCCTTAAAGATTTGTGTCAAGCTAGATTTAAATGGAGATTTTTTTTACCCCCTAAGGTCCAGTAACTTTTTAAAATATAATGAATTATAATTACTTCATTAATATCATGCAGTCTTTAAAACTAGTAGGTCTGAACAGCATCCTAAAAATCAGCTGTCCTTTAATAGAAGAGTTCCTTCCTGGTTTTATGGGTTACACCCATTTAGCCATTCATACTCTGTTCCACATCATCTGTGCTCCACAGGGAATTGTGAGACCATCTCCTGCTATCTGAAACACCTTCAGGAAAAATAGAATGTTCCTCTAGAAGGAAGAACAGGAATTAAGGAGGGAAGACACATGGAGACAGATTGCGATTCTCTGTAAGAGGAAACTTTTGAACAGTGGAAGACCTCCATAATTGGAATGGATGGCCTTCTAAGCAGTGTGGCTCTCATGGCTGTAGTGGTTCCAGAAAATATAAGATCAATTGTATCATTTTGCAGGAGAGGCATGAGAAGTGGGTAGGGAGGAGAATTAGCAGTGCTTAGCTCCCTTCCAAGAGCAAGTTTCTGTGAACCTATTAAGACATTCAAGCAAATATTTATTGGTCACCTATTATACATTAAGTCCCCATTTAGAGAGCGAGATAGTCAGCAATGAGTAAAACTGTGTCCTTATCCTCATAGAGATTGCAATCCAGGTGACAAACACTGAGGTATCATGGCAACTGAGCTGAATCATTCCTTTAGATGTAAAGATGTGGATTGCCAGGTCATAACAGGATGGATCTGCATCAATGCATACCACTCCCCACCCTCCCTATGAAAATCGGGCAAGAGAAATAACTCAGAGTGCTATACATGAGTAAACAATGAACAACTGTAAATGCTGAGGCTAAACCTATCCTTAATCACAGGGGTAATGCTCAAATCATCAAAATCCTCCAAGATAAAGTTACAGGCTGTGACTGCATCATTTGCCTGGTTTTTACTTTATGTGCTGCACAGTCTAACCCCAACCTTTGACTCTCCCTGTAACCATCCTCCGTTTGAGTTTGGGTTTGAACAGCTGCCCAGGCCATCAGTGCATCAGTGCGTTTGCGTAATAACTCATGCAAAGACATTTAAGAGCTCACAAGTCTTCAATAGACTAAAGTGGAGAAAAATAAGCTTCCATAGCAACAACATGTCACTCTAAATCATTATTGCTGTTTCAAGAACAAAGTGAGGATTGAAATAGAAAATATGGCAGGGAGTGGGGTTGGTTCTGGGAATTAGATCACTTTGGTTAGAAAGACAACAATATGCTCATTTTTTTAATCTACTAAGCTGTTTAATTCTAAAGCTACAAAAACTTGTCATTATTTGTAACTTTCTCTTTCACTGAAAAAAGGATTTTATTCCCTCCTCTTGTTCATTGCATCCAAATATCAGCTCTGCTGGAGACAGTCAGCATGAATTCAGAATGATGAAACTTGAACACTGCAATTGAAAACCTTTGCTGATTTGATTAAGGTTTTGCTTATCATGATAAATATTCCAGCAGCCAAAAAGCAGCTAGTAAATATATGAGGAACTGAGCTGGGGACTTACCTCATTGTGGGATTTGCTAGTCATCCTTTTTTGTTTAAAAAACAAAAATGTATCCAAAATGAGCTCTCATGTATGTGAAAGCATAGAGTAAGTGATGTTGGCTCAGTAAGGTCTCTGACCACAAACGCTGCTTAGAGTAAATATAATTTTAGGCAGAAACAACTTTCCAACATAAATAGCAAAGGGAAGCCTCTTGGAAATTATGTGATAAAGTGTTAAAATAATAACTGCTTATCTTAGAGTTGGCTCGAGATGGCAAACATTGGAAATGATACAGACTGAGACCAGAGCACATGTTTTCGGCAGTGTAGCTGGACATGAAGGGGGTTTTATTTCCATCACTTTTGGGGAAGGACAGGAGCAGTGAGAATCATGCTTATATATATAAAAGAAGAGGATTCATGCGTGTTCATATATATAAGAACTATAAAAATTAAGATTCATTCTGACTTTAAAATTCGGACAATTTCTCTTTTTGTACTTCCCCTTGTTGTGACAATAGAAAGCTGTGTCATTAAATGTACTCCTTTTAGAGAAGTTTTGTTCTGGAGACCTCTGTGTGCTCTGAAATAATAAACAGCAGTATTTCTGCTCATGTTTCCCCATAGGTGGCCGACGATGGCTAGACTGCCCTACAGATTCCTCTCAAGCTTACAAGTAAACCTTTGTAAAAGATTCCTCTCAGTTTTATCCCTGTCCTTCCACAATTCTGGTGACTCCCCATCTCTGGTGGGCCTCTCTTGCAATAATTTACTGAGGATACACACACACACACACACACACACACACACACACTCATATTGGTTTTTTTTTTACCAATTTTATTTGACTTGACATCTTGATGTTATTGTTGGATAGATCATTTTGCCCTCTTACAAGGAATTGAATTTTCAACAACACACACTTATTGAGTATTTAAACTTGGTGATATGGAAAGGATATTCCTGAAATTATCCTATTTATACCATGGAAAAAGTATGCAATTAATCTTCTTTATTTACCACATTTATTATCTCATTCAGTTTTCACTATAACACTGTTGTAGGCTTTACCTATATTGCCTGTATTGTAGTGACTAAAAAATAAACCTGATGTTCAGAGAAATAACTTGCCTTCTAGTCTATTCTTCATATAGCAAAACAGTCTTTAACATAAATTGGGATCCTTTCATCCAAGATGCAATAACAGTGACTAGACTTACCCTCCCGGCTAAAACAATTTAAAACTGAACAACATATATGAAAGTTACTTTTAAGACACTGAGCATCAAGCAACTAAGGATAGTGATCTCTGAGAGGCAGGAAATGAAAGAGAGGGGCCCTGTGATGCTCTGTCTCACTACTTCACTGCTTTCTGTATCAAGGTGCAGGGACTCCCAGAGTTGAGGAGACAGAACTGGAAGTCCAAGAGACCAAAGGAGTGAGAATTCTAGGACAAATTATGGGAGAAAGCATATGGCAGACACCTCTGGTGATCTGTAGAGGGTCCCATCTAGCCTTCAGCCAAATACTAATGAGTTCATGCATGTAAGGAAATTGTTTGAGGCTGGGAAAAGCACCACAGAAAGAGTATAGGGAATCATTATTGGAGATCACAGAGGGCCAGGAATAGATGTTATTTCCCCCACAGTAGCCAGAGTGGAAAACCTTACAATTAATGGGGCATTAAGCAGGCATTGATAGTACACTCAGCATTTTGCCTCAGAAGTAGAGCAAAATTAGTCCTGGACAAAATGCTATTCTGGCCTCACTTAACAAAGCTCAAGAACAAGAAATGAAAGAATCAAAATATTTCCAAGTAAATTTGCTGCATCTCAGAACAAAGCTTAAGAATAGCAGTAGGAATACAAAAATATCCAGTATCCAATAAAATAAATTTTTTATGATTTTTGTTTTTTTAATTTAATCTTTTATTGTGTTTTTTTTCCATCACCATTATTACCCCCAAAATTCACAATGTCTATCATTCAATTGAAAATTAATAAGCATGCAAAAAATTCAGGAAATATGAGCTCACAATGAGATGAAAAGTCAACTAGTTAAACTGACCCAGAAACAACACAATAATAGAATTCATACACAAATACATTAAGAGTTACTATATATATCCCATATAGTCAAGAAGCTATAAGAAAAATTAAATAGTGAAGTAGAGATGTGAAAGATATGAACAGGCCCAAACTGGTTTTCTAGTGGTGACATCATAATGTCTAAGATGAAAAAGGCACTGGTATGAGGTGGAAGGATTAACAACAGTTAAGTATTGCTAAAGAAAAGATCAGAAAACATAAAGACACAGCAATAGAAACTATCCAAAATTAAACAAAGAGAGAAAAAATGCTAAAAATAATTAGCAGAGCAGCAGTGAGCTGTGTGGGACAACTTCAAACAGCCAAACATACATATAATTTGAGGCACCATAGAGGCACCAAAAATATCTTTCTTTTTATACCCAACATCATCAAATAATTTATTTGGGATCAGAATTAAAGAACATCCAACAGCTGTTGAAATGTATGTTTATTCCAGTACTTATCACTTGCACAACTTATCGAGTGAAAATTACCAGATAAATTTTACATTTCTTCAGGACGGGGGTTTATCAATGACTTCAGATTTGGGATCCTCAAATTTGAAGTCAGGGAATGCATTCATGTCTGCTCTACCAAACATCTGCTTAAGCTTAAACAGCTCCCACTCCAAGTCCTGCTGGTACTCTGGGCCAGTGTCAATGGGCCCTCCAGATGATTGTTGCTTAGTTTTGTATTCTCTAATCTTGTCCACGAAGAGTTTCTGTACAGGGTCAAGTTCCTTAAATGCCACTGCTGTTACACCAATATTCCTCCTCAGATAGACTGAGACTGCAGACTGAATGGCTGAGGAGAACCTGAAGAGCCTCTGAAGAATCATGGTGATTCTTTGACTTGCACTCAGTCCAGAGCTTCCAGAGCCACCACCGCCACCCAAAAATATCTTTCTAAATAATAGCAAATGCTTTTCAAATTTGGTGAAAATTATAAACCCACGCAGATCCAAGAATCCCAATGAACTCTAAGCACAAAAATTGTGAAGGGAATATCAGTAAGGCACAGCACAATGAAATTTCTCAAAACCAGTGATAAAGAGAATAGGTTACAAGTACACAAATTAAAAGATGCGTTACATAAAGAGGGCCATGATAAGAAGGAGAACAGATTTCTAGTCAGAACAAGGCAAGCCAAAAGATAGTGAAGCAAAAGCTTTAAAGTGCTGAAAGAAAAAGAAATCTACTAGTCCAGAGTTCTATACCTAGTGAAAATGTCTTTCCAAAATGAAGACAAAATCAAGCCATTTTCTGAAAGAACTTATGACCACTAGTCATGCCCTACAAAAGCATGTTAAAGGATGTCCTTCAAGAAGAAGGAAATGGTACTGGAAGAAATCCGCATTTACACAAAGGAATGTAGACTCCAGGAATGGTAACTTATGTATATAAAAAACACACTTTTCTTATTTTTACATGTCTTAAGAAGCAATTTACAATTTAAAACAAAAATAATAAAAATGTATTATGAAGATTATAACATATAATATAAAATGCATGACAGAAAAAGCATGTAAGCAAAAAGGAGAAAAGTAGAAGAATACAGATGTAAGGTTTTACATTGCACATTAAATGGTATAATATCACTTTGGGGGTAGATATTACTAAGTTAAAGATGTATACTCTAACTTTTAAAGCAACCACTACAATAATACACAAAAAGTTATAACTAATAAACCAATAATAGAGATCAAATATAATCATAAAAATATTCAACTTCTTAAAAGGGAGGGAAAGAGACAAAAGGGAGAAAAAACATAGGAGGCAACTGAAAAATAAATATCAAAATGGTAGATTTAAACCCAAATATATTTTTTAAAAACACATTGTTTTTGAATGATCAAAATATTACAGTTAGAAGGCAGAAATGATCAAATTGAATGAAAAAGCAGCAACCATACTTTGTCTACTTTAAATATGAAGATAGAAACAGGCTAAAAGTAAAGGGTGGAGGCTTACATTACTTGATGTCAAGTTTCATTGCAGAGCTACAATAGTTAAGACACTTTCAGTCCCAGCCACCTCCATGCTCCCATGTACACCTAACTCCAGCAGGATTATTCCCCCTCCAGGAATAGCTTTTCATATCAACTGCCTTCAACAGAGGGCATGTGCAGTCTTGAACAAAAAAATCAACTGATTTTCTCAATGTTTGATTTTAAAAATCAGAGCAAAAGCCAATAGCTTTGAAAGTCGACGTTTTGATTTGCAAGAGTTAAGCTCTGATTGAAAAAAAAGGGGGTGTATTTTTCTCTTTTTTTAAATTGACACAGAATTTTCATCCAGCAAAATGTATAGATTTATAACTTTTATAAATTTGTAGACCTGAGTAACCACCACTGCGTTTAACAGGGAGAACATTTCTTTCACTCCCTTGTGACTCTTTCTAGTCAAGACTCTTTCAATCCCTTACAAGAAGAGGCGAGCACTCTTCCAATTTTCATCTATCATAATAGTATAGTTTATATGTTCTAGGACTTTATATATATGGAATTATACTTTATTGTCTGGCTACTTTCATTCAACATAGTGTCTTTGAGTTTTGGCCATGTTGTTGCATGCATGAGCAGTTTGTTCTTTTTTTATTGTTAAGCAGTATTTCATTTATGAATATTTCACAATTTATCTATTCCTCTGTTGATGGATACCTGGACCTGCCAGTTTTTAGCTCTTATGAATAAAACAGTTTTGAACATTCTTATATAAAAAATTTTATAGACACTTATTTTCATTTATCTTATGTGAATATCTAGCAATTGATGGGTCTTAGAGCAGATGTATGTTGAATTTTATAACTAATTCACAAATTATTTTCCAAAGTAGTTGCATCATTTTACAACCCTATCATCAGTGTATGAGAGTTCTAGGTGCTTCAGATCCCTACTTCACTTGGTGTTGCCAGTACTTGAGGCTTTACCATTCTAATGAATGTGAAGTGGTATCTCATGATGATTTTAATCTATATTTCCCTCATGACAAATGGGGTTTAGCAACTTTTCATGTGTGTATTGTTCATTCATAGAACTTCCTTTATGAAGTTGCTGTTCAAGACTTTTGGTCATGTTAAAAGATAGAATTGTTTGTCTATTTTTGAATTGTAGGAGTTTTTTAAGTATATTCTGAAGTCAAGTCCTTGATCAGATATAAGTATTATGACTATCTTCTACCACTTTGTGGTTTGTTTTTTATTTTAACCGATCTTTTGAGAAGAGATTTTTTAGTTTGACAAAGTTTGATGGATTAATTTAAGAAACAATTATTGAAAATCAAAAAGTTAATTCCTAAGGAAAGTAGCACATAGAATTTATGACACAGACAATATTTTTGAAAGAATTTATGGTGATTTAAGAGCTGGTTTTTCTTACTGCTCAAGAGGAAATTAAAAGTCTTTTCTGGACTGAAGAGAAGAAACTTGGAGAATAGGAGAGGAAATTAAGACAAGAAGGGGTCCTTTGCCTACTCTCTGCCCCTCTGGGGTAAGTGATCCATGCTTCAGTCATTGTGTGGGGATCCCATTGCAGAGGAGACCTACTTCTTGCTTTCCCAGGCATAACTCAGGGAAACAAAGCCTTGTAGAGAGTCTTATAGAAAGGCAGCAATGAGGAATATAGATAGATAGGCCTAGGAAAAGCCTTGAAAATCACAGTAACTCTCAGGAAGATGGCAAAAGCAGACAGAAGAGTTCTCAGGTTCACCATGGGGGAGAGGAATGCTGAGAGAAAGCATGCTAACTAAAGGGATCTGGAATTGAGATGAAGATGACTCAAAGTGGTTATGCCCTGGGTCCAAAGGCCATTGTGAAAACATGGACATCAGGAGGGAAGTCTAGAACTCAAGGATGAAGGTGAAATAAGGTGAAATTCAACCCAGTGAAGGCCAATGTGGACAACAGACAACTGTGAATGAGATGCCATTTTACCCTGAGTCCCCTGGGCTTAGACTACTTTCTAAGGGAAGGGGCAAGGGGAGGGAGGAAAATGCAAACCAATTCTTCATCCAAAAGAGAGGTTATTTTAATCCAGCTGGGAGTGAGTTTTATCTTGAATTGGCAAGATTGATTTTTGCCGCCAAAAATATATTAGAACTTGAGAACTAAATTATAAAGAAATAAAATGTCATGTTTGCATACCTAAGTTTTATGATAGTGAAATTATACCAGGTATAATCAAAAGATCTTCAAGTCAGGAACCATTTCTGTGTTTTTCACTAAATTATATTCAGGGTATAATACATAGTAGGTGGTTAAGCAACAGTTTTGAGTAGATGAAAAAAAAATGACCCAACTATTATGCAATGAGGTTTTTATATCCTTAAATCCCTCAATTTACACTTCTTCCTTTCAAGGACAAATTAGCCATGTAGTTGGAACATAGCAGCAATGGGAATAGACATTTTATTTTTCCTTTGCTTCCCAGTCAGTAAACAATTATTTCCTTAAATCTGCCTTTGTAAATGGGAGATAACTTTATGTACTAAATTCATCCCTGAATTCCATATCATATAAAAATTATTACTTCCAGATGATTCAATATTCTTAACTCTTTATACATTTTCTGGCCACTGTGAGTTTAAGAAATTTTAAAAACACACTTCAAGCAAAGAACAACTCTCACTTGGTTATTTGTTGACTTTTTTCATAAACTATGGCTGCCATTCCCATGTCTCAAGGTAAATTCCTTTAAAAACCCAAGGACAATAGTGTATATGAAGAAAACTTGCTCTAATTTGTGAGGGCTTATAAAGGATGCCACTTTCTAATTGCTCTTTAGGACAAGGGCTGTTTTACTTAAGAGAGCTGGCTTTGGAATCAGACTTCATCTCCATGCAGGCTGACACTTACTAGCCATGGCAGTGAGCAACTTACATAGGGTCTCCCAGTTTCAGCTAAGTCACCCCAGGGAAGTTTAGACTATTAAACAAGATAATGTGAACTTAGCACAGAACCTGGTACATATCAGGCACACAATTTGTTTCAGCTATTTCATCATTTCCACCTTTATTTTTATTTACTGACATTCTGAAACTGGAATAGAGCGGTGACATAATTTTTTTTAAATGGCAAGGTCTGAGCATGGCCATGGTGAGATTGTTAAAACAGTTCCTTGCACCAGATGTTAGGTTTTCAGGAATCACAGTCACAGACCCAGGCACCTCTATAGACACATGTGAAAAAGATCAGAAGTGAAATCATTTTTAGGAGCACCATTTCTTTGGGCAATCTATGTGATACCTTAGGGTTTGGAAAATAAACTTAGGCTTCTCCTGGGAAATGGAAAAATTGACAGAAACAGAAAAGCCTGGGCTCAGCTTGTGTTTCTTTTTGTAACTGCTATTTGAAATTCATTAACGACAAGCTCTATTGTGGCAGCAGGGGCAATAAAGAACTAATGGACTCCTGACTTTCCTCCCTAATCTAGTGAGGGCCTTGGGCTTTCAAAGTCATTGAAGGGATACTTAAATTTAGTTCAGAACTTATTGGCCATTGATGAACCACTGGTAAATCTTCAAGCAAACAGAAGTTGATTTTGAACCCATTCAGAAAACATTCTTTATTTGATCTTCCTAAAACCTGAGGTATTTAAGTATAATTCAAAGTGAGTCAGCTGTCCCCAAAATCAGAAAAAGCTTAATTGTTTCATGTAGGCTTAATTGCTCTTCTGCTAAAGAAATGAACTCAAGGGTGTAACAGCATTTTGGGCCCATTCAGGGACTTTACACAAGACAGCTGCAGCAGACATGGCTCCCAAATAACTAATAAAACAAACTGATAAATAAATCACAGGACTGGAAAGCAGGGAAGGGGATGATGCCGATTTCTTTCCAGGGG